CTCTCTCTCTCTCTCTCTCTCTCTCTCTCTCTCTCTCTCTCTCTCTGCCTCCCTCCCTCCCTCTCTCTCCCTCGCTCGCTCACTCCCAGCAGTCCACCGCTTGAAGTAGGCGGACACAGCTCTCTACTTCAGACGTGCGTACAATCACCGTAATGACAGCGCCCAAATGTTATTTTTGTACAAAATTATTTAAGAAGAGGTTGTGACCGCCGGGGACGCAACTCGGTGCGGATTTTGGGCCGCGGGAAGTCTGTTGTCATTTCGTCATTCCAAAGCTAATCAGAACTGTAATGTTTAACATTTATACGTACATGAAAATGCATTTTTCTTTCTACCATAATGTATCTATTGAACAAAATGAATTTTTCTACAAAGACATGTGTTCGGCTTATTAATTTGCTTCCTTGCATACCTCATCACTACAACCACATGTGCGACATGCGATTGTACAGCTCTGGGCATTACTGTTGTCCTTATTCTTTTCAGACCTCTCTTGACTCGACTGAATTTTCGCCCCCCGCCGTTTCCCGTTTGTTGTAGGAAAATTCAGAAGAGAGTTTTCCCACACATTCGGCTGCAGCTGCCGCAGCAGACAGATTCATCGCGGGAGCACTGTCCACTGCGCAGCGTCCAACAGGTACACCTGTGAATTGAATTTCTTGAATACCCGAAACCCAAAGATATATGAATATTGGAATATTTTTAATGACTAAATGACGTTGAGTTAAAATACCTTTTTTTAAAAAGTTTGCTCCTACTTTGCCCCTTACGTACTCATACGTGTTACACTCGGTGTTACGCACTTTTCACGCCTCTCTAATGCGTTTCTCTGGCAGGTGCCGGACGCCCTCCGCGCCGTCAAGCCCCTGTACCCCGCCCGCCACGCCCACGGAGCTGCTGCCGCTGTACACGCCGCCTCCTACGCCCCACCGGCCGCCCGGGTTCCAGCCCTCCGTGCGCCTGCTCGACTCGGACGGCCAAGACGGTCCTGGCCGGGACCAGCGGGGCGCTGGGCCAGGGAGCCCCTGCCCGTCGGACCGACCGCTCGTCCCGCCCGGGGCGAGCTGACACCGAGTCCGCAGGACGCAGTGCTGGGGCGGGGACACGCCCCCGGTACCAGCCTTTGGTACAAGCCCTCGGCACCAGCCCTCGGTACCAGCCTTTCTGCTAGCCTTTGGTACCAGCCCTCGGTACCAGCTTTTGGTACCAGCCTTTGGTACAAGCCCTCGGCACCAGCCCTCGGTACCAGCCTTTCTGCTAGCCTTTGGTACCAGCCCTCGGTACCTGCTTTTGGTACCAGCCTTTGGTACAAGCCCTCGGCAGCAGCCCTCGGTACCAGACTTTGGTACCAGCCCTTGGTACCAGCCCTACCAGACTTTGGTACCAGCCCTCAGTACCAGAGTACCAGACCTCGGTACCAGCCCTCGGTACCACCTTTTGGTACCGGCCCTTGGTACCAGCCCTTGGTACCAGCCCCCAGAACCAACCCATGGTCTTACCCTGGTGTTGGCAATTGTGCGATGTCCGGTTTTATTAAGCTCAAGACTTGACAAAAGCAAGCTCTTCGCGATGACGGCATGACAATGTTACTATCTCTTACGAGCGCAGACTGTTATCTGCGGATGAATATAAAATACGGTGTCTCTATGTCTTCTACGAACATCATCTGTGTGTGTGTGTGTGTGTGTGAGAGAGAGCTCTTGTCTTTTCGTGATTTATGTGACCCTCACTTACAAGAAGAGTTATGCGAGTCTTAATTCCCGGTTTGGCCGTGGTTTTTGCGCCCAAACTCGGCGTATATTTGCTTCTTATCTATGTTGGTGGCGTGACGCGAGCGGCGCGGTCAAATTCAGTCCCGCCCGAGTGTCATGCATGTTCCGGGGGTACTACTTCAGGGGAGCGCTGCACGAAGGGCACGAAGTACTAGTACGTCGCCTTGGTAGTGTACCCAGGGGCGGGGGGCTGCACCGGGATGTACCGGACGGGACCAGCAGTTGGCAGCACTGGTAATTGGCACACTCGCGCGCCCTGTCTGTCGTCTGTCTGTCTGCTCGTCTCGTGACATGGGATCCCCCCCATGACCGTGGCAAGGGCGTTATTGTCTACCCATGGGCTGCTGGTGCTGCTGCCCCCCCCCCTCCCCTTCACCCTCAGCCGGCCGGCAGCGCGCGCGCGAGCAGAATCTCGTTTCTGTCGCGCGGGAAAGTTGGCAACGACGACGCGGCAAGTGTTTCCAAAGTTTCCAGCAGAGGACGGCGGCGACTGCTTAGGACGGCGATAGCGCCGACAGCCCGGAGCGGAGGACGATGAGGGGAGTGGAGGGGGAACGCCGAGTTGATATCACACCCACCCCCACACCGCCGGAGAGGTGACGCGCGCCAGACGCCGCGACGACTTTTCGCATTCAATCGGTCAGTTTAATGAGCAAACAACCATCGGGGCAAAAGTGGAAGAGACCCGTGGAAGAAGATCGTGGAAAATAAAAAGATGTGTGACATTCAATGTTATCAAATAAAGTTTTATAAA